CATTTTTTTCTTTGAACATTATGTTGTAAGCATTTTCCTGAGTAATTAAACTTCTTTCAAAATATTTTAATAGCTACATTATATTTCAATGTATGGATATATCATAATGTACTTAATCACTCTTTCATACATTCAATGTTCATTTCTTTTTTTGCTTTAATGACTAGCACTGCAATCAACAAATTTGTAGGCATCTGCTTATTTTCTTAGAATAGATTCTGAAAGGGAAATTATTGGCTTAAAAGCCTTGAACATTATAAAGAGTCTTGATATATATTGTCACAATTTTTTCAGAGAAAGCGTGCCAATTTACAATCCTACAATTAATGTTTAAAAGTTAGTTTCATTCAACTTTCCAAATTTGAATGAAAACTTTTAGAAATGAATGCTAATAGTTTGAAAATAATAGTCTACATTGTATTAGGCATTCCTTTTAATGTCTTTTTTTCTGATTATAAAGTAATATAAACTACTTGCAGAAAGATTGACAAGTATAAAAGATTACAGAAAATAATGATACCATCCATATATAAAAATGACATAGTAGTATGACAAGCATGTGTCTTTTTGTGCACATATTAAATACATAATATTTATAATGTTGAAATCTTGACTCATAATCTCATGCCTAAATTTTTAATTTACTGTTATATATATCATGAATATTTTATGAATATCAAATATTATCCAAACCATTATTTTTATTAATTGCTAAATAGTCTATCTTACAAACTTTCTATAATGTAGTTAACCTTTCTTGCTTATTGGACATGTAGTGATCAGTATATACAGAATATCAACACATATCATTGTTCAATAACCTTTGCATTTTTGATGATTTCAATAGATTTTATGATAGGAAGTGGAATTATGGAACCATGGGTTTAAGTAGTATGTATATTTTAAAGCTTCTTGATATTGATACAAATTAGGAAAATTTCTCTAAAATGCTTGTTCCAGCTGTGTATGAAAGTGCACTTCACTCATCTTGGCATTATTTTTCCTATTTCAACGGTTCATATTTTACATTTATCTAACTTTTCCATATTTGTTTGAATGTTTGTATTTCTTCTTTGAATTCACTGATCATGTCCTTGGCATATTTTCCCATTAGATTTAGGATCATGAAGAGCATTGAGCATCCTTCCCTGAGAAACTATTCTCTGGACAGAGCCCAGGATAACTCAATTACTCCCAGAAGTTCAATCACCTGTTGCTCTTAGTGATTAGTGTTCCCATATACTTCTCAGCATATAATTGTAGTAACGCATGTGTGCAAAGGAGTTTTAATTCATAAAACTCTTCCACATCCATTACATTTTCGCTCACCTGTGAGGTAGGCAGGGTAGGCTAGTGTCATTAGGATTATTTTGGGAATGTGAGATTGGGTTTGAGAAAAAGACAGCTGTCAACAGCCAGTGGGGAGTAAAGCCAAGACAGTCCACCAGGTCTTCGTTCCTACATCCTTTACTTTTCATTGTCTTATTGCCAATGTTGCTAGGGACCAGAGATAAAATGACTCCACACAGGGTAAGAAAGTTCTAGAATAACGTTAAGGGACTTGATAGCAAATGCATGCTATCAAGAATGAGACTTGATTTTCATGTAGGGGCTTTTAATTGCAGTCATCCATCCAATTTAAACTTTCAATGTCTAAATATAAAGATGCAGTGATATAAATGAGCCAGCTGCATTTTTACAGAGTATGATTTGCTGAATTTATGAATGAGTGAAGTGATGGAAATCAACAGCATGAGTAAAAATAGTCTAGCCCATTCCAATAGCCTAAGCCAGTGGTCAGCAAACCATGGCTCACGAGCCACATGTGGCTCTTTGGCCCCTTGTGTGTGCCTCTTCCACAAAATACCACATGCAAGAGGTATATACAGTGCGATTGAAACTTCCTGTCCCATGCGCAGAAGTCGGGAAGGAGGCAGACGAAACAAGTATACAAGATGAGTGTGGATGGGAGAGGTGGACGATTGAGGACATTTTTAGCAAAGGCCAGCTTAGGAGTACCCTAATTAAGGTAATAACAATGTACCTACCTATATAGTTTAAGTTTAAAAAATTGGCTCTCAGAAGAAATTTCAATCGTTGTACTGTTGATATTTGGCTCTGTTGACTAATGAGTTTGCTGACCATACATCAGTACTTCAGGGGGTTCCAATTTGCACCACCCCTCCGCCAAGAGCATTCTCAGAACATAGGTTTCCAAACTACCACAGGAAAATAGGACTGGTTGCACATTGATATCCCCCATGTTTTTTGAAAACGATCACTTCATTTTCCTACCTCAAAAAATCTTCCCATTTGCCCCATTTGAAATCAAACTGCACATGGTTTGTGACCTTCTGAGAGTTTTTCTGACTTAAGCAGCTTTAAGGTGTATTCCACCCCCACCCACACCCCCCATGGGAAACACATGTCGGTGCCACCTCTTCAAATTAAAATATCCGTTTCCAACGAACGCCTGGAGAAAAATCAGCTCTCCCTATCTCGACCTGGTTTTCTTCATGGGTAGGATCTAATTCTGAAGACATAATGGAGCTGGGGGTGGGTCTCCACAGGTGAACCCAGGGGCGCTGCCCTACCGCGAGGAAGAAGGCGGAAAGATGCCCGAAACTGAACCCACAAACGCTGGGGCGAGTCGGAGGGGAACCCCCCGCCGCCTCTGCTTCTCTGTGGCCCCGCCGCGCACGCGCGCTGCATCCCACCTTCCCGGCACCTGCCAGGTCACAAACCCCTTCCCACCCGCACGCGTCCGTAGCGGAGGAGCAGTCTTGTCTCACGCTGATTGGTCAGAACCAAAGGAGCGCGTCCCTCCAGAGCAACCTACTGGCGCTCTGCCCGCCCCCTCCCGCCCCCCTCGGGCTCCCACCTTCTTCGTGACTGGCGCGCGCCCAGGTCACTCAGCGCGGCGGGGAGAGGTGTGCTGAGGGGAAGGAGGGACAC